GTCGTCGTGACATCGGCGATATTGATTCATTAAAGTGGAACTTAACTGAAGCTTGGAATGAAATTCCTCTTGACACTATCCGGAAAGCCACTGCCTCCTGGTTATCACGCTTACCATTTTGTGTTGAACATTCGGGCAAACATTTCAAACATGAATTTATTTTTTAATTAACCGCTTTTTACTGGCCACTCTGTTGAATGCCAAAAATTACTGAAAATAGTTTAGCCGAAAGTATTCGAAATCAAGAAAAATTTGGACATTTTATTACATTCATAAAATCCATAAATGAAAACACTTGTACGCATACATGAAAACAATAAAATACTAAACAAAAGTACATTGTCAGTCTTGTTCAACGAAATATTTATCAAAGAGTGTTTGCTACTAAATCAGTCAGTTATGTACCATGCGTGATACACGCTTCGGCGATCATGTACCCTTCGATACATGACTGAAGTGTTTTTCTGTATTGATTGGGGAAAGTAACAATTGTTGTGAAGCTGTCTGGGTCAAACTTTCTGCTTATCACTGGAATACGAATAGAATGAGAATGAGTTGACCCTGTCCATATGTTATGGCGGATCCTAGCCGTAAATGTTTGAACTGGTGTAACTAATGAATGTAGCTCGCCTGAATATTGCCCAGGGAAATAGTGAAAAATCAATTCGTGCCCGAGTATAACAATTTCTATGACTTTACGGATGCTTTTCTTGCCACTGATGACGTCTTTGGTGATTCATTAATCTAAGACGCGAATAGACTTTAAGTGAGAGGTTTTGGAAGAAAGCTTACTGCATTGGTATCATATTACTGTGACTTGTTATGCCGGGTAAATCCATCGGTGACCTGCACATTTTGTTACATAGCTTTCAAGCAAAATCAAGCTGGATATCATAGTAGTAGATTGTGTGGTCATTGTTGTAACGTGTGTGAATTACGAAGCCATCATTTGATACGCGTCTAGAATCTGCACAAGTAAGAGATATTTTAATACCTTCTCCTAACACAAAGTCTACGTTCTCTATATAGTGAGCCTCCCTCTTTTTAGCTTTGCGTATTCTATCATACCTTTCTCCAGATGGTAAACAACAGTCTCATCAGCGGCGTCTTCCAAATAGACTTACCAAAATGCTGATGTCTATGTTGACTTTCTGAAATGTGTCCTAGAAGCAGTCATTTTAGCGTTTGTGCAGCTTGCAATTCAGGCTTCCGCCTTAGATAAAGTAGGGAGCGGTTAGCAACACTGCTCACTTATTTTGTTCGACTCGCACTAGTACCGTCTCTTAGAACGTATTTACAAAACTTAGTCTGACACAAGGCTACACAATTTCGGTAGTTATGAATGGCGGCTGTCGTTTTATTCGTACTAGGACTAGAGAAATAAAAGACACTGACCAAGTGTTAAGGTTACCTTTTTTAAAGTCGTCTAAGTCGAATAACGAATAGGTTTTCTTTATAGTAAATCATTTAACCAATTTTGACAGCCCGGAAAGACAGAAAAGAACGACCCCAACGGAAATGATCGATTTAGATGCTTTTTGATCACCGCCTATATGTTTCACACTCCTTCCCGTTCGTTTGAACTGGAGTAGAGCTTTATCCCATGTTTCCGGTTTAAGATTGGGTTTCCGGCTTCTTCTAAAGTCTTCTTCAGCTCTGTAGTCCTAACGTCGTTCGCGGCTGGTCTCTGAAATTTTATTCATTATATATTTATTTCAGTTTATATCATTTTATCTCTTCTACCAATACAAATAGATAGGTTCGCCTATCCTCCCGTTCACACTCCTCCCCAGCTTTTTTTTTTTTTTTTTTTTTAACATGACTAGAAGTTTATCCCTTGTTTCCTGTTTAGGATTGGGTTTCCGGTTCCTTCTAAAGCATGCTTTCACTCTATACTTCTAACGATTGTTCTTTCCTACGACAATGTAAGTCGAAACAGTAATCCTCTACCTTGAGTGGCTCTTGGGCATTTAGGTGAACATTACAAAAAAATCCACATAATCAAGACAAAATTATGGCATATATTTTTCTTCTTTTATATATTATGTACTCTCAGGTCATGAGTGATCATGACTCTCCAAATCTTCCTGTCTTTTGTTACTCTCAGGAACACTTTCCTATTTACCACCTAGCTCTCCCCAATTTCTTTGTTTTGAAATCTCTTGTCTATTCATTTTTTTCCTCAGTTTCTCTTTTTTACATGTACCTTTAGTGCATTAAATTTTCCATGTCTTCTTTCCTCGTTAGGTACCCCTAAAATCTTTCTCGTTTCTTTCTTATAGTTAACGGTTGTTTCTTATCATTCTTATTCCGCTTGCAACTTACTGAACCAAATCAAATTTGGCAAAATAACAATTTTAATGAGTTGAGAACCATATATCTTTAACCGTATAACTCGCGCTGATTAATAACAACAATTATATTAGACTGTTCTAGAAGTGACTAAATTTACTAGAAATTATATAAAAACAAATATAACTGAAATTTATTTAAATATTATTTATCAAAAATGTATTTCTTTTTCAAAGACTGCAGTTTAACGGGAAAACAAATCTTCGATTTCATGTTTAAAGAAGTCTGGGCTTTTCCGCGAAAATGTATGAAATACTGTTTTCAACATTTTGCTCAATGTTCTGACACTTATACAATGTTCTAGTGACCGAAATGAATGTAAATCTATATTTGCTAAATCTGCTTAGGATAGGGAGAATATAGCGGAACCTCCCATCCTAACAATAATATTTTTCTTGGGTTTGTTTTTTTGCAAAGTGTACCCGGGCATTGTTATGCTGAAGAATAAAACCTCTTCTTTTTACTTAAGGTCGTCATTTTGGTGAAACTCTTCATTTACCCGATCACGTTACTAGCAATAAACGTCTTCAGTAATGGACCCTTAATGTTTCAGTAGCTCGTAATGAAAGCCAACTCTCATATTCCACCAGACACAAAGAAGGAATTCTGTAGGTAGAATCCTGGTAATGGTTTCAGATTCTGTCAAAACCAATAACTTTTTTCGTTTTCTGTTAACATGCAAAACCCATTTTTCATCACCTGTAACAATCCGATGCAAAAATGAAAGGATACTATTCCGGTTAAAAGACTGCTACAGATGGTGGAACACTGTGATCTATTTTTAAAGCGAAAGCTCATGAACAACGCATTAATCAGCTTAGTATCAATTTATAAATCAGCTGTTGAAGTCTTTAATCGTAGACTATTTAAGGCTATGAGCCAGGCCATCTGGTAGAGTGTTCAAGGGCTGCTAGCTACTCTACAACAATAGTAAAAAAATAAACGATTTAAATATCTGTATATCACTACTTTCCACTCGGGCTTCATGCAGTAAGCAATGTCGCCTTTTAAAGTCATATAATCCTCCATGAGTCCAAATTCTGAAATGCACTATAAAAGACACGGTGTCGGATGAAAAGAGATGTTCTCATTCTACATCTTTTTTCTTGCTATTCAACTTTGGTTTCTGTCATGGTTAGTTGACTCATAATTCATAGCAGTGAAACACGTAATTACTTTCCGAAAAATTTAGTATATACGAGCATATTACTCGAAAAAGGAAGAATTATAATCCAATTCGTTTCTCATGCAAAGATTTTTGGCAATGATTCAAGAAAATTTACTGCTAAATTTTCACAATGTTGTTAACGTCATTTTTTGGTGGAGGTTGACATTCTGTAAGAAAACCTGCGACCACGGTCTTCGCTAAGGCAACATTTTATTTTATTATTAGTCCCATACCAATTCCCAAGACAGTTGTGTTCACTTTTCCTATTTTCGCTTTTCCCCTTTATCAAAAATTTTGATTTTTCACTTTATTATAAAACCCTAAGCTTCCAGGCATATTTTGCAATTTCTCGTTTTTTCCTCTGGTTAAATTTTGCGTGTTCATCTGCAGTTTTCCTGACAACTGAACACAGGCCTAACAGATCGATATAAGTTAGTCTTGCGCACGCATATAATCATTGGAATGTACTCAATTCTGCACATCTGTGCCTACGATAAAAATTCATCGTAACCCATACAACCTATAATTCGTGAGCGTCTTTTGCCTTGGATGCCATTTATTTATCAAACGAGTAATTTGAGCGCTTCTGAGACTCTATCAATATTTTACTTCGCCAAGGTTTATATGCTTGGGTTTAAATTACTTCATTTTAAACTATACATAAAGCAAACATTTTTATAGTTATTTTGCTTACATAATCTCTAAACTGTCATCCACCCAAAACATATTTTCTAGCTTATCTAATTTGTTTAGATGTTCCTAAAGTATTTACAGAATAATAAGAAGTTTTATATTTCATTTGCATAATGAAAGCATCTTACTTTTCACGTCTTGGCTTAGTAACGATAAAAAAATGACAGATTATTTACGAATAGATTGGCATTAGCCTTTGGTCTAGAAGATACCCGTAAAAATGACAGGATTATTTAAATATAGATCAACGCTAAACCTAATCTTAACTGCCTAGGACAAGAGAATCAATATCCCCTAAGTGTAATTAAAATGTGTCGCTACCGAGTCTCCGATCAGTATAGTATCTGTGCACTCAAGATAAATTTGTCGCTCTTCGGCATAGATAACCTCGCCATACTGATATTAGAATGCTTCTGATATATATATATATATATATATATATATATATATATATATATATATATATATATATATATATATATATATATACAGTATACATAATATATATGAGTGTGTGTGTGAGACAGTGAGTGTGTGTGTTTAGGACAGTGAGTGTGTGTGTTTGAGACAGTGAGTGAGTGAGTGTGTGTGTGTGTGTTTGTAGACACTCGTCGTATTTTGCATATGTCAGTTATCGAAATTATTCTGAAAGAAAAACTACTTTCGTCTTTGATTCACCCAAAAGAAACCAGTTGCATGTGCGGCTAGTTTAAAAGATAGCAGTGCGACAAGCAGAATCGGCGAGTCATTCAGATCCCGGGCTAGTTTATTGCCTTCAATTTCGCACAAGAAGAAGAAGAAGGAGGAGGATGAGAAGAAGAAGAAGAGAAGAAGAAGGAGGAGGATGAGAAGAAGAAGAAGAAGGAAGAGGAGGTGGAGAAGAAGAAGAAGAAGAAGAAGAAGGAAGAGGAGGTGGAGAAGAAGAAGAAGAAGGAGGTGGAGGGGGAGAAGAAGAAGGAGGTGGAGGAGAAGAAGAAAAGAAGAAGAAGAAGAAGGAAGAGGAGGTGGAGAAGAAGAATAAGGAGGAGGAGGAGGTGAAGAAGAAGAAGAAGGAAGAGGAGGTGGAGAAGAAGAATAAGGAGGAGAAGAAGAAGAAGAGGTGGAGAAAAAGAAGAGAAGAAGAAGAAGAAGAAGGAAGAGGAGGTGGAGAAGGAGAAGAAAAAGAAGAAGAAGAAGAAGAGGAGGAAAGCTCTAAAATCAAACCCCCAAGAAATCAACGGTTGACTACAATCTTTCACAAGAAAGCATGGTAATGAAAGAAAAAAAATAAAGAAAATGAATCCGAAGAGAGACATTATTGCCCTCATCTTGAAGGGGCATAACATTAACTCTCCGATAGTACAGAGGGGTATTTGAACACCACACAAAATGTGTGTAATTTTTATGATGAGTCGAGTAGTTTTCTGAAAACCTCTGTCAAATACCTACAAGCAATTTCTGAATTATAGCTGTGTGAATTACAAGCAGTTTTATTTGTTTAGTTAAAATAAAATGAAACATTTTTGCATATTTCAATTTTTGAAACTTACAGATTTCCTTATTCAGAATAAAATCTTTTGTTTTTGTTTATCCGAGAAAACCTGAAGGGCACACAACATAATATATGACAAAAAATCTAGACGTAGCTAATATGTAGGTTGGCCAGTAAGTCCTGACTCACTTAAGAAACGGAAATCAAACAACAAAATTTTATGAAACAACATTTATTTTTCAAAATAAAGTCCATTATTCTCGACGATCTTTTGTCAGTGATCATCCAGCATCCGAATCTGTCCCAGATATCCGTCCGCTGGCTTTGAATCAAAAAACTGTATACAACCTTCCTTCACTTCATCAAATGTATTGAATCGCTGGTCACGGAGGAAGTTTGCCATTGAGCGGAATAGGCCACAGTAACTCGCGGCAGTATCGGGACTGAATGGTGGATGTGGAAGAATCTCAATACTGTCCATCTGTTTGAACTTCTCTTTAGTCAACCTGGCTATGTGTGGCCTCGCATTGTCTTGATGAAAGAAAACCCGACCTCGATTGACCAAAACTGGATACACCTTCTTTAGATTGTCATACACGCAGTCTAGTTGTTGGCAATACAGTTGATGGCTCGACTCTGTAGAACAAACTTGAAATACAGTACACTCCTTGGAAATTCCAACACAACGGAAATCAAGATTTGTTGTTTTCGTTCGGCTTCCTAAGTGAGTCAGGAATTTTTGGTCAACCTAGTAATATTTTAAATGGGGTGTTTGAAAAGGCCACAGTACTAATACTGCGACAATATCCCACTATACCAAAAAAGGTTTAAAAAAATAAACGCAAAATAATAAACTATTAACCGTTCTATCGCACAATGACTTTTACAGTAACTATGCGTTAATTTAAAACCTATTCTTTAAAAGAAATCATTTTCTAGTTAGAATAAGTTCATAGTTATTTTTAATTTAAATTCAGTAATGGTTTTGGTCGAGAAAAGATTGTAAATGATCAAGTAATCCTACTGAGGTTTCTTTGTAAACAACTCATTCACCTGGGGGGAAAAAAAACTATTATCTAGTTTTGAAATGTATTTTGTGTAATGTCCTGATAAAGGATTGAAGATATTATGAGATATTTATCTAACTGGGATTAACTTGAAGAAAAGTAATAGAGAATACAGAAATAGTTCTTATAATTTAAAAGAGTATAATACATTACAAAATCCATAACGTTCTTAAAGGCATCGAGGCCCTGAAGGATAGTAATAAAGACATCAGATAATTTATTAGAACTGCTGTCTTAATTTTTTCATTTGCTTTGAAGCATCTTCACTAACTTTTTCACTAGTTATTTAAGATATATTTTGCATACCGTAAAACCCAGATAGATAGATAGATAAATAGATAGATATTATGAATAGGAAAAACAATTACGACACCTACGCATATGCACACATACAGACACGCGCGTGCGCACGTACATAAATATGCATACACACGAGTGCACACGAACGCACAAACACACACACAAGTACACACACACAAGTACACACAAGTACACACACGTACAGACAATGAGAGAAAAAAATCAGCCTAACACGAATAAATAGCGCATGAATTATTTTTAACTTAGTATAAAAATAGAGAAAATGAGAAAATCCGCAATCAATTGCTGAAAGCTCTTGAGGAGTGGACCGAAAGATTACAAAAAGTTTCTTCTACGAAACCTTGGAGTCGAGGTGCGGAATATAGCATCAATAAGTTAAGGGCTAAATTTTATATTTGTATTAAATCTACACACACACACTGAACACTGAAGACGCCAATATATAAAGGGGAAACGTGCTGTTATTAAAAAAGCTTTTCTGCTTTGACTCAATATATATATATATATATATATATATATATATATATATATATATATACAGAGAGATGATTTAAAATGAAAATTTTGATAAAAGAGAAAACCATTTAGTAAGAGAAAAATGTATAGAAATTAGTTTAATTACTAGACCATCCACAGTATATTTATGTATAGATTCTTACGTTTCACCTTCCTTTGTAGATCTTCTACTCTCCCAATGTGAGATTATTAATAACAAAAGTGATATAAACATAAAAGAGAAAACTAAATGACATGATTTAGACTATTTTCTAAAAACATATATTTTTTAAAAATTTAATTAAATATTAAATTTTCAGCTTCCTAAAGTGAAGAGGTACCCGAAGAAGTTGCTTTAATGTCGTATTTTTGGAATTGTTTGCTGATCACTGACTGGATTTAAAAGTCAGCTAAGAGGATTCTACGACAATAAAATATATAACTCGTTCCCGTTTTAATCTAAGACGTGATCAATCTTAGAAACAAAATCTCACTTCTACCATCTACGTATGTACGTACCTCGTGTCGTTTTCCTTCACAATATATATATATATATATATATATAGTTAGTTAGTTAAACCTAGAGCGTTAGACAAACCTACCAAGGTTTCACCTAAACGGATTGTCAGGGAAGCCCGCCTTTCCTGACGATCAGCTTAGGTGAAACCTTGGTAGGTTTGTCTGGCTCTCTAGGTTTAACTAGGTCTGCTCTACTCACTGTACTGAGCACTTTACTTAGTTATTTTGCGTACTCGCATCGTTTTTTTTTCTTTGGGCTTTGGACTTGCATGCTGGACGATTATTTTCGACTAACGTACATATACTTGGTTCTTTCTTTTTTTATATACGTTTTTTCCCCTTTGGTGGCGGTTTGATTATTTGTAAATCAAGACACCACAGGTTTTCCGAGCGAGTATAGTTTCTTATACTTATAAGATTTCTAACTAAAACAGATGAAACAAATAGTGACCAATAATAATTTTGCCAACTATATCATCCATATACAAATAAATTTATTCTTACAAAAATACATGTTACCAGTAACAAAAACACAACACAACAAACATCAACATATTTTACTGCAACCACATGCACAATAATTATAAGCAGGACGAATTCGCTATACAAAGAATCGTTAAATACGATAATTTTACTGTAAATTGCGAAAAATATATAAAACTCATATATTACGGCATATGGAAAACCACACACCTTGCTATTTCTAATTAAAATAACCCCATCAAATCTAAACTAGTGATGACTAATATATTATATCACTGCCTAGTATAAAATTGTGTTTCTTGTCATAAATCAATTACCTATATCGGTCTACTACTATCTCCTTAAGTACACGCATCACATGTTACTTATCTGATCAAAGTGCTATACAAAAATCATCTAAATACCCACAATTCACATTACAGGAAACATCTAGCTGTGAGAGAGGCCCTGTATATAAAACATCTTGCTCCTACTATCAACCTCAAAAAAAAATAAAGATTTAATTAAATTTTGCTTGTCTGTCATATTCAACGAAATATGCTTAAAAAAAAGTTTGTTGCCCAAATATACATTAATCTTTATATATATATATATATATATATATATATATATATATATATATATATATATATATATATATATAAAGAAAAAAAAAAAAAAAAGAGAGATAAATTACATAGAATAGAAATTGAAATTACCCCATTTGAATAGCTATTTCACCCTATAAGATCTTCCTTGCAGAATTTGTCAACACCAGTGTTGAGAAATATTGCAAGGACGACCTTGTAGGATCAAATAGCTATTCAAATGGGGTAATTTTGAATTTCTATTCTATGTAATTTATCACTTTATATATGCTCTGTCATAATAAATACATTGTGCTCTCTTTGTGGATAAGATTTAATATCTTATATTATTAGGATTCACTTGGATTATATACCTACGGATTCTTATATATATATATATATATATATATATATATATATATATATATATATATATATATAGCATACATATAGCATACATATAAGGGTGACTGAAAAACACGTCAGAGCATCACAGATTAGAATACTTGTCAAAAATTTTTTATGGTAATATCCTTTATCGTATATTTTGTGATACTACAATATAAATTCATAAATTCTATTCATATTCACAATATAAATTCATAAATATTATTCATAAATAACAACTTGAGTCGAAGTAACGACACCGCAGTTTTATCTACCGTCTCTTCAGTATCTAGGAAATAATGGCTCTCCACAATTTCTTTTTTTCTTTTTTTTTTTTTTTGCTCATAGAAGTTTTAAATCTTTGTTATCTCTCTTTGTCCTCATCTCAACATCCATTCACACAAACGCGTTACTAGCTACTTTACGCTGTTCCCCTTTGATATGTCCTGTGAACGTTGGCGAAATTTCAATTGTCTTTTTTATGATTGTTATATAGGTTCCCTTGTATATTTTCTTAAATTAAATATTACATGGCAGTTAAAAAGACTTTGTTTCCAAAATAATTTTCATATCTCCTTTGTGCCTCCGGATTTCGGTGTCAAATTTTCCATTGTCAGTTACTACACTACACACATAGATAAGTTTCTGTACCTTTTTGATTTCGGTGTCCGCAACCTTCTAGCTCACATCTTGAGCTGCTCTTTTTTTTTCTGATGACCATTCATTCTATCTTCTTACAGTTAATAATCAGTCCTTTTTTCTTGCTTTCGTTTATTACTTTATCTAAGCGTCATTTCAGTCTTCCTTCTGAGTTTTCACCAACACAGTATCATCTTTTTGTCTTAAGATTATGAACCCAGATAATAAATCCTGATAGGTCTTCTAGTTCTCTTAGAAATTTCTCGCTGTATCAGTTGAATAAATCCGATGAGAAAGCGCATAGTCCTCTTTGTATGTTCGTATATTCATTGAACCTATTCTCTATCCGCCTGCCGTTTGATTACTCCAAGTAAATTTTATAAATTACTTCCACATTTTTCCATATAAATCAACATGTCTTCGCATTTTAAGTAGGTCTGGCTATTATACGTTATCAAATGCATTTGTGTAATCTATGAACCAGATAAAGGTCTTTCTGCATTTGTACTGCTGACTTTCAAAGAATTCTCATAATAAAGGAAACTTTTTTTATTGTTCAGTGTCTTAAATGAAGTCACATTCTTGCTTTATTCCTGCTCTAATTCTGCAATGAGCTCTTTTCATTAGAATCCTAATGATAAGTTTAGTTATGTGGTTCATTAAGCTGATTGTCCGATGGAGTTTGCATTCATTATGTCTATAATTATTGACATTAAAAAGGCAAATGAAAAATTCTAAATAAATGTATAAATAAAAATGGAAAATTTAAGGTAATGCTGAAAGTTAGTAATTCCATTTGAAAGTCTTTCTTTCTTTCTTTTTTCCTACTTTCTTTTTCGATAATGGATAGCAAGGAAATATAGTTTATGTATATCATCAGATTTTCTATCGAAAATATGCACTGATTGTGCACTAAAACAAGTCTTGTCTGATCACAAGACAAAAGTAAACTCGACATTTGTACGAGACTCGTCAACGAAAAAAAAACAGTTAGAGATACTTTTAAAACTATTTTTGACAGTTAAGTGAAAAACTTACTATTTTGCTTTCCGAAATTGATAATCGACCTGGAAAACTCGGTCTGACATTAAAAACATAACAAAGTTTCAAAACAAATATATATATATATATATATATATATATATATATATATATATATATATATATATATATTCATTTTACGCCATTACTCATTGAGTTTTGGCTGGTTAGGAGTTGCAGCTGCGTATATGTATTGTTTTACTTTATTTAAAAACAATATGCAAAGATTTCAACTGTCATCACAAATCACGTGATCCTTCCCAAACAATAATCGTTAATTCCTTCAGGTAACCAAGATTCTGTATTGATTTTATCTTTATCACAATAGGAAATCGTACAATCTAACCGCTTATATTTACACAAGCACATCCTATGCCATACGTTCATGTACGCGTGTTTGTTTGTCTGTATGTGTGTGTGTGTGTGTGCGCGTGCGCGCGCTTTTGTGTATATGTGTGTGTGTTTGCGCATGCGCGCGCGAAAGAGAGAGGGAGAGTGTGTACACGCACGGATATATGAACTGAACAATCAGTTGGATGTGACAATTGCAAAAAAAATCATATTTAATAAAAAAAGAGATTGGAAGTTTGAACTTTATTTCCACATTGCTCGCTTTCTTATTTAACATTCGAGAACACACTGGGATCGAAGTAAGTATAACAACGTAACATGACATCACCCCCCATATAAAGGAAGACAACTCTCATTGTACTTAATTAGCTTCTTAATAGAATTTATCATCTTTGCACAACTAATTTTGTTTCATATTATTAATATTTCATTTATTTATGGTTTGGTGTGATTTTCTGTTTCTACCAACAGTGTCCACGTTTCACGTCCCTGTAAACTACCAGCGATTTGCACAGTCCGTACTTCGTTTGAAAGCGGTTTTTTCTCCTCCATATTCTTGCCAATTTAATTG